GCAAACATTGCTATCACCTTTTAGAAACCAAAACCACAGGAGAAATCAGAGTGAAAGGAATGAGAGACTTGTCTTTACAAACAAACTGTGGATCTGCTGGTAAACAGAGCCAGATACTGAGAGATAAAGGGAACAATGGGAAGGATTCCACTGACCGATGAATGGAATGAGAGAGATTTGTCTTCACAAACTGTAGGTCTGCTGATAAAAAACCTGGATACTGAGAGATGAAAGAAACAACGGGAAGAACCATAAATTCCATAAGGAATTCCACTGACTGACACAAGGAAAAGACAAAGGTGGGGGATGATACATTAGAAGGGAGTCCTAGGTATCAGGTGTTCGGGGAAGTCTGTATCTCCCAAGCACCTCAGCCAACGGGGAAAGAGGAAAATGTGGCCAGGAAATTAGGATAAAAGGAGGCTGCATCCTAAAATTTGAGAGACCCCAGGGCAATGCCCCATGGCCTCTCCTTTTATTTGAATAAAGTAAAAAGTACTCCTCTGTCTCCTTTTTCGACATAAACCTTTGGTGTTTGTGGAGTAATTTCCTTGCCAGGAGTAATTCCCAGCGGTTCCAATGCATTTGGCAGCTACAGCTAAAATAGCGGCGTTACTTTTAACTCCGCTCTGCCAGTCAGGACAGAGCACTTCACACTCTGTGTTTCGGTTGTGCAAGCAGCAGGGAGAGTCTGACACTCGCATTGAGGTAAGTCTGTACCCGTGTTATGTGAACTGACAGAGCTTTGATGTGTACTTACCTTATCTCTATTTCCACTTTCTAGAAAAATTCCCCTGACCATTATAAGTCATTTAAACCCAGGTGTTTTCTTTTCTCCTAGCTCTATTCCCAAGCCAGAAAGATGCTGTTTTTCAGGCCGGGACATTGTCTTTTACCAGCTCAGAAGAGAGAACCTCCTAAGATTTTTTCACCATGAAAAATTCATTCCACTATCCTGGCACATTGCATCAGGAGTTCTGAGAGCTTTTCCCTTGGGACTACAAGTCTTTCCTTGGGCAGGCATGGTTCTTCCATTTAGGAGAGTTCTAAGCACTGATCCTTCTCTGCAAATCTAGTGCAAATAAGTATGGTAAAAACTCCATGGTGTCAATCAGCTTGGATCTAGAAAAGCAGAAGCACTTTGAAGGCTTCTTTAAGTTTAAAAATGTGGTTTCCCAGGGAGTAAGCTCTCCAGACTTTTTTAGTCCTGAGCTATTTTCTTCTGTACTAAATTTATTTAAAAATACCTACATAACCACATATTCAGATATGAAATATAGGAAGAAATATATTTTAGCTATTAGAATTGTTTTATACCTGAAATATTTGGTTTCAGTAAATACAAAATTAAAATGAGACTTCAAAAGTAGCACAGAACATCATAACCTCAGTGGAGTGCTTCAGTACTCAGTGCTTCTTTCCTCAGCTAGAGATGGGCACAGGACAGATCGGTCTTCCAAAACCCATGTTACCTTGGTGGAAGGCCAGAGGAATGCAACCCGAGTTTTGGACTCAAAAGAGAGATCAAAGTCAGGCTTTGTTTTTAAATAAACAATCATGAGAAATTGGATGTTTATCAGAAAAATCATTGATCGTGATCAGAGTCTGAAGCACTGTTAAAACCTTAAAAACTAGTGTGGCATACTACAGCTGATTTTCTCCAGAGCCCATCAAAATTCCTTTAGAACATCCTTAGGAAGAGACTTCTTGATTTTTTGGTGAACTTGTGGATAGAATGACACACCCAGCATTTACAAGTTTATTGACAGTCTCTAAACAGCTCTGCTTAAAAAAATACCTGATACAAAATAAATATCTCGTTGGACTAAAGGCTCTGCACTATTTGGGCAGTTCTAGTACAAAACCTTTAGCAGGCCTGAATATATTTTCAAAAGCCTTATCTGTCACAGAAGAAAAACCAATTCCACTGGAACCAAGAACTAAGTAGGGAAAAAATACAGGTATTTAAACCCCAAATATTCTGTTAAGAGCTGTAATCTATTAAGTAGTTCTGTTAAGAACTACAGTCACCTAATATTTCCTACTGACCCCCACAAGATGCAAAGATCTTGCAAACCACTAGCATAACCCAGCATCACCACAGCTCTTAAATCATAATTTCTTTATATTCCACTTGCGGCATACCTGCAGTTACTTAGGGAAAAAAAAAAAAAAAAAGTTATTTAAAGGATGAGTGAGATCAAATCTTCGAACACATCTATTCATGGTCAGAGTCAAAGGAGACCAAATGCAGGGAAACACACTGGTCCTCTCATTAAAATTCAATAACCTGGAAGCAGGAAGGTTAGAATGGAAAGTATTCACCCTGGGATACTGCTAAGCTACAATTAAAAACTGCAAGTTAGGATGATCCTTATCATTTGCTTTGGTATTGATCAAAGCAGAACATGCATCACTGCAAGCAATAAATACCAACCCTAACAAACATTAACCTTAATTTTAGTAAGCAATGATAATAAAAGGTGTATTTATATACTGTCCCCTTGCTATTTCCTGAATTAAAGTTGAAAATTACTTTTTACGATTTAATTGGTAAATAGCATTTTGAAAAGGTTCAAACTACAGTGCTTAAATAGGACCAGCCCTCAAAGTGTTTGCCTCAAAATGCCTTGGAATTTGAACTCATTCATGCCTTCATCTATTTGTGTACCTATTTGAGAGAGAAGGATTCTTTTCCCAGGGCTGTAAAATGTAATTTCTCTTGTCTATGAAGAAAATAATATCAGAATCCTTGAAATCAATGCTTATTTTTTCCTTCAGTGGCTGAGGAAAAGGAGGATTGCTGGTAAAATTAAAAATCTTTTAATGGGTTTACAGCATCCCAAGAAAAGCAACGCTTAAAACAAAACTAGACAATAAATGAAGACACTTTTCAATTTTTATAAAGAAACACAGGCTAGTTAAGGTGAAATCACTGCAGACACCTATTGAGCAGGTGGGATCTCTCTAGACAGACCTTCCAGGCTGACTAAAGAAACCAGCTGCTCAGGAAAAACTCAAACTACATCTTTTCAATGCTGCTTGTACGGGAGCTGAAGAAACAGAATGGAAAACAGATCTGAAGGAGAAAGAAAAGACAACTGACACATGCATCTACACAAATTCATCAAAGATTACACCCAATCCAAGAAAAATTCCTCAGCAAAACTTTATCTAACAGAACATTAAAGATTACATATCCCATTGTCTTTTCATCAAAATTACGTGGGTTTTTTGGGGTTTTGTGTTGGTCTGTGAGTTCCAGGGTAGAGATGATGTGGAAGATGTGCCTGCTTCATTTCAAGGGACAATGTTAGCCCCAAATATGACCTCCCCTTCTTTTTTGTCTTTTCACATTAGCTCTTTCAATAGTCTCTGTGGCATTTCAGGAACAACACAGGTATGATAAGATTATAAACCTTAATTTCAAAATTATCAGAATAAGGAACACAGAGGTACATTACATAATATCTGATCCCAAATGAAATTGGGAAATGTGAAATTGTGAAATTGAAGGATATGAAAGCATTGGTTAATTTTGTCATACATCACAATTACCATGAAAAATAATTTAAAAGTCCTTGTAAAACTTTAATTAAAAGAAAGAAATTGTTCATACCTGTCTTTTCATATGTAGCATGACTATAATTTTAACATGTTTTATTCTCTTTATCTGTAGGCAAAGAAAAAGACCCCAAAGTTTTGTCTGGCCATTCTTACTCTGGTAATTTTTCAATAAGAAGTTATTTAAGATGGAAGAGCTTCTCTAGCATCTTAACCCTATTTCTGTGATAATTAAACAAGAAAAACAAAGAGAGGAAAAAGCCAGTGACTAAAAAAGTAGAGTTTTGATTTTGTTTTCTGTACCAACATTACTTTGCAACCTCAGCCTTGGAGAAAAACATTCCCAGTGCAGTCTGGCTCAAGCACCAGAAAGCATGGCAAATATAAACTAACAAGTGTTCCACATGTTCTGAAGAGTCTATTTTTAGTCACAGATTTACATCATCGTTGCAGAGGGAATTCCTGTTGATCAATCCTGCATGCTTAATAAGTTTGTTAAAACGGGAGGAGAACAATTGTCAAAAGGTGCTGATACTCAGGCCCAACAATTTGGTCTTCATTTCCAGCCCTGCACTGCATGTTTATGAGCCATTATCTCAGCGAGGCAACAGATGTTAAATGTTAACATCAGCAGCCAGTTCCTGAACACCTTTTAGCTTTTACCAGTGGGTATTTACTGACAAACCCCTTTAGAGGGGGATGGTCAGGACCTACTGATTGGAGCGTCATAAAGCAAAGGAGCTGTCCAACTGCGCTGCTAAAAACAATTATTTATGGGATTAACATGATTAAGGGTCTTTTTGCAAGTGTTTTAGGGACGACTAGCTCAAATGAAAGCAGTTACCTTATTACAGAATTCAGGATAATAATATTTTTTTCACCCTGGATATACAACTGCATGGCATTTTTCACTGAAGCAAGATCTTGAAATTTTTACATAAACGGAAAATATTTGTAGCTGCAAGTAAAGGGAACACCAGCTGCCCACTCAGCTGCCTCAAGTTAATGAAAAACAAAGGAAATATTTTTGCTTTTGCTTCTCTACCTTCTCAAGATACAAACATCAACTATCTTTAATAGGCTTTAAATAACATCTGGGCACATGGTTTTAATGCACCCATAATGTGACAATTCCTTCAAAGTTATCTTCCCAAAGCATTTCTGAATTAGCAACTTCTTGCTATAAAGATTATCAAAACAGACTCTCCAAATTATGGTTCACTCTCACTAAGTGATACACTACTTAGGCCTTGACAAACATTCTCACAAACGGAACAAAGCTGAAAAAAACATTTTCTTGTTTTTAAAGATAAACTAATTGGACTATCAGTTCACCTGTGGTTCCTAACTCAAAACTTCTTGGCAGAGAATGGGTTTAATGATTACCTTTTATAACCTCTGTACTTAGGCTGCTGCTCCTCCACATTCTGGTTTCAGACATGGACATGCCTTGCTTGTAACTGGCTGGGAAATCTAACAGGAGAAATACACTTGGCAAGGATTCTTGGGCCTGATTAACACCAAACAAGTTTAAATAAATAAGGTAAGTGAAAGCAAGAATTGCTAAAGGTAATGATTGAAGCAGTCTAAATAGATGACTTTAAAAGAGAGATGTTGGGCACAAAGCTACAATGAAGTTCGGCCACCCAAGCCCTGCATTCTTCATGTGTGCAGTTTTCCTTCATAGGTTTAATCTTAAAAGCTAGATTCATTATGATTATTTTAAAAAATCTATAATTCAGAAGATAAACTTGATGTCTTTATAGGCTAAATGTTTCTGAAGATCAACAATAGTGACATAAGTAGGTGTTATGTCAATTTAAAATGCTGCAGTTTTTGTAGCCAGTTACTACTTAATTTACAAAAAAACCCCAACTTATGTTTCCTAAACATGATGCCTTCCAGAGTTACCATCTGTATAAAAGCATAAGGATCTTCAGCACTCCAATTCAAGTAATTATAGTTGTAGAGTCTTAGGAGGGAAGAGACTTTTGACTGAATCTGCTTTAGGGACTCAGGACCTAACTCGATCAATTTCCTTCACCGTTGCAGATTGTATTTTAGATCAGTACTGGGGGAAACAAGCAAAATCCTCACCAAAAAAATCCTTAAGTCTAAATTTAAATTTGAAAACAAACTCTTTACATTCCAGTTCTAAAAAGGACAAAACATTGAGTGAAGGACATTCACCCTGAATCAACACAGAGAAGCCTGGTGACTCTTTCTGAGGCAAAGAGCTGCTAAATAGATAATTCCAGGAGCCCACACTCTGTTTAGCAGATGCTTCCATCTCCAAGGAACTGAGGCAAGGCCTGATTTAGTGAAGAATGGAAAGAAGGTCCCCTAGATAAGAAGAAAACCAGCTTTTGGGAGGAAGATAAAATCTGTCTGGACCTTTGGAGTAGTTCAAAGGAAGGACTATAAAAGCTTGATCGTTCCAGTGAGGACATCCTGCAAACTGAATGTGAGAAGGCACAGACATTCCCTGCCAGGTGGGTGCAAGGAAAATCCCCAGCAAGAAAGAGGAGGAGGAGGTGAAGCTGCCATCACTTCTCCTCTCTGAGCAGGTAGCTCCATGCAAGTCCTTCTCCTGTGAGTGAGTGTGTGCATGTGTTTGTTTTCTGGCAATATTTACCTGCACTGTTTTGTACCCGCATAATCAAGCAACATTAATTTGTTAAGAGTAAGATTTTGTCGTTATTTCCTTAGAAATTTCAACAAGGAAAACAAATGGGTGAAGAAAGCTTGAAGAGAAGAAAAGGAGAGGACAAAGGAAGGGAGGACAGACAATCCATTCAGAGTAATGAGCCCCAAACGATGAACCTACAAAAGCAGGTTTTGCTTTTTCTTTTCCCCTTTGCTCCGTGTGTCAGGGGCTGCCAGAGGGAGGCAGAAGGGGATATTTGTGCTTATGCATCAGCATGCAAAATCACCACTGTGTCCCAATCAGCAGAAATATCCCAATATCTCAACAATGTGGTCGGCTTGCATGTTCAGAAACTGCTACTTACTGAAGTTAAATAGCTCTGATGTGAACAGACTAAACCCCCAAGAATATGTCGTGGAAGTTATCAGATAGAAAAATAATTCAAAGACTTACTCTAAGTTGATCAGCTGAGGCATTTCATAAACTTTTTTTTTCCACAGGTACTTTTCAGAAGTAATAGTGGGTTGTCCAGCTCATTGTTTCTGAAAGTATTCTGAAACTCATTTGTTAGTGATTAGAGCTAGGAAATAGGCACTGGTACTGGAAGTGAAAATCTGTCTCCTCCAGAAAATTACAGATGCTTTCGAAAACAGTTGTGTCACTTCCTCTCAGGAGGGAGTGGCATTTCTCTTAATTTAAGTAGCCTCTAGAAAGATTATCTATGTGGTTTTAGTTTGGTGTAAAGACTGGAAAAATACGGATGTTATTAGAGTAGCCATAGCTATCTGAAAATACTGAGTAGCCCACTACAGACTTGGGAGAGCATGATTTTATCACCTAGCAGTATCAACACCATTCTTAGGTACAAATATTTAAAGCAAGGAGAGGAAAACAGCTGCTCAACAAAAAAAAAAAAAAAAAAAAAAAAAAAAAAAAAAAAAAAAAAAAAAAAACCAAAAAAAACAACCTGGACTCCATCCATGAAAGACAATTTCTGAATCTTAGAAAACTCAGAATTCATCAAGTGCTTGTAAAAGAATGCCATGGCTTAATCAGAGAGGAAAGGGCAAATTCACCCACTCAAGGTTATATTTGAGACTCACATAATTCAGTTTAATAAAGGAAATAGGCAGGCAAAACACAAACAAATGTACTTTTGAAAACAGCAGGAGCACACCACGGGGTACATAGAGATCTTGGAAAGAAGAGTGAAACTTTGCAAAATGGTTTAACATTTATTTATAGAACTTTTATATTGAAAGCCAATAAAAATAAGTCAGTAATGACAATTATTGTAGTTCTATGATATTGAGAAGTAATTGGTGATTTACTAGAAATTGCTTACAAAAATATCTCATTTTACTTCAAGGTGGGCCTCATTAGTGGAATCTGTATGATTGTTGGTACAATTATTGGCTCAGGTATCTTCGTTTCTCCAAAATCAGTTCTTGCCAATGTTGAAGCTGTGGGTCCTTGTTTAACCATCTGGGCAGCCTGTGGAGTTCTGGCAACATTAGGTAAAAAACTCAACAAAGAATCTGAATCTTTGCCTTAAATCTCAATATCTGCTGTTTCTGTGCACTACTCTCATTTCACAAATTAGCTTATAGAACCTAGACCAAAATCAGCTAAATCCTGCTCTATATATGTATATATGCAGTACTCAACCATAAATTAAAAATGGGGTGTTTATAGAAGACAAATTAAGTTTTAAAATTGTAAATCACACTCTGTTTTGAAAGGAAGGTTTAGTTTTTCCTGCTTCATCCATTGATTGTAATAAAGAGAATAGTCTTCTACTTAAATAGCTGGCAATATGTGAAATTTACTGGTAGTGAGCTAGGTACTTTCTGCTCTCTTGCTACTTCTGTAATTCTAATTCTGCTATCTGAAAATTTAGTAGTAAGCACCTCAAAATATTTCAAGAAGTAAAACAAAGAAATTTTTGAGCATTGTGTCAAGTGGGGCAGCATACAAGAAAAACCAACATGCCACACACAGCAACAGAACAGGACATATCACTGCACTTTAATGTTGAGCTCAGCAGACATTTTATTTCAAAATTGTGCAGGAAGTCTGTTTTTTCAAGCTTCCAATAGGTATGTCAGCCAGTGCAGTTCTCACTTAAGTGCTTCTTATAGTGTTCATTTCTTAAACAGAAATCAAATGAAATCAAAATGTTTGTTTCTACTGTTTTGGTGAAATCTAAAATATCAATGGTAGTAGTTTTTAGACTGCATCTGAATAATTTCAGGGTATTTCTTTCAATTGCTCACAAGTAATTAAAATTTTATTTTGCATATACAGTAAAATATACAGGAACATGAAGAGAGTAATGGGGCACTGTAAGGATCAATTTCCTTCACTTTTCTACCTATTAAGAAGTGATCATCTCTTCAAGCAGTCCCAGGTTCAAAAGTGCATGAACTAAACCTGCTTTTCTTGTTATTCAGGTGCACTTTGTTTTGCTGAGCTTGGTACAATGATCACAAAGTCTGGGGGAGAATATCCTTACCTCATGGAGGCATTTGGCCCGATTCCAGCCTTTTTGTTTTCTTGGACAAGCTTACTGGTTACAAAACCCAGCTCCTTTGCAATCATCTGTCTCAGCTTTGCAGAATATGCATCAGCTCCTTTTTATCCAGGTTGTGATCCACCCCAAGCTGTCATCAAGTGTCTGGCAGCAGCTGCCATTGGTAAGAGCCACACTTTTAGACAGAGCAGATCCAAAATTGCATAGTGACCTCTGTCTGGCCCCATCACTTCCAGTACCCTGAAACTTCCTTATGTTCATCTTCACAAAGACACCAGAAATCTTTAAGATACAGTTATTATTCCCACAATAACTAATTAAACAGCATTAAAAGGATGGGTTTAAAAATGTATTTTTTTTCCCAGTCCAAGGTTTTTTTATTCCTCCTTAAGACAGATACATCTGTACAATGAATGCTTATCTCTAGCAGAAAAGGAAGAAAAAATAACTGTGGAAATACTATTTCTTTATTTATCAGAATCTGTGCATCTTCAATATGTTTTTTATTAAAGGTACTATAAAAGTCTAATTCATAAATCTGTTTTTCCTCACTATTTCAAAAGTTATCCAAACACAGTAAGTAAAAACTGTATATAATATAGACAAAAAGTGTGAAGGAAAAGCAGTAGAGTAAATAAGGGGAGGGGCAACTTTTCTTTAAATTCTGACAAACAGTGCATAAAATTATAATTTGATTTCTTTTAGTGGTAATTACAGTTGTGAATTCATTGAGTGTGAAGCTGGGAAGTTACCTGCAGAATTTTCTCACAGCTGCTAAAATGATCATTGTCACAATCATTATTGTAAGCGGAATTGTTCTCCTGGCGCAAGGTAATAAAATATGTTATTTGAAAAAATTATTTTAGCTTTTGTTATGATCATTAAAAATTCTCCACTGACAGAAGTGATGCAGAAATAAGGCACAGCCCTGAATCTGCTCATTCAGGGTTTTAGTTCTGCATCTCTTGGAAATTACGGCATTTTCTTTCAGAGAAGGGGATGGGTGCAAAATGCAACACTACAGATCAATTAATACAAAAGGGTATTAATTAATTTTATACGTGAAAAGTTTCAAAACATGGGACATGTGGGAATGTTTTTTCATCTGGTGGGATTATAAGAATTAATTTCAACATTGATCAGTAATCTTCCTCTTATTTGCAGGAAAAACAGATAACTTCAAAGATTCTTTCAAGGGCAGTAAAATTTCTGTTAGCTCTATCAGTTTGGCATTTTATAATGGACTCTGGGCATATGATGGATGGTAAGAAATCTTTATTAACCTTCACAGTTACAGTTTAACAGCCTTTAACTGGTTTACTCTCTCCATGTAAAACTCTCTGAAGAAGTTAACAACTGACTTGTTATTAAGAAAGTCTTGATGAATTCTGGAAAAAGAACACTAGTTTGGGTAAAAACCCCCAGAACTCCACCCTCTTTTAGTTGCTATTTATTAGGGAAAGAAAATATATTAGATCCCAAAAGGACTACTACTACTGCTCTGGTGCTGAAGGTACTTTGATACTGCAGAAATGAGGAGAATATAACACATTTAATTCCATTGTGTTAGACAAAATAGCTTCCCCTGCAGGTCACCTCATCAAACTCCATTTCTTGTGAAATATGGTGTTTGATTAGTCCAGGAGAACATAAAAAGGAACATTGTGTCAGAAATTATAAGGTTCAACTTGCAGATTCTTTTTCTTAGGGAATGTCAGTTGGCATAGAGTCCTGTTGGCACAAATCCATTGTTATTCTTAAATGTGCAAACTGCAAAAGTCTGTACATAGGTCAGTACTTTGGAAGCAAATAAGAATATAATCTTGATCTACCACGCAGCAATTCCCATTTAAAAGCTTTTGAAACTGAACTTATTTTAAATAGGTTCTTTTTTTAGGTTCTGTTTCAAGCTTGAGTGTCTCAACTCAGGCATGTAAGTCTGTTAATTCAGGCATTCATATGGACTTTTTAAGAGGGCAAAGAAGCTGATTCCTAAATAATTATTTGTGTATGTAACTACCAGGCACTAACATCTGAAAATTTGCCTTTGAACTGTAAATACTGACTCTTCAGATTTTCAGAGTGGATGAATATAAAAACCTTGTTTCATTTGGTCTACACACTCTAGCAAAAATGGTTATTTGGAAATTATAATTCAGATGGGTAAAATTCTTAAAAAGGTTTTCATGCCTGTCTTCTAAAGGCAGTGTGACTTACAGAGCCACTCTGAAACAGCAGCAGACTTGCTTTTCTCTTTGCCCTCAGCACACTCTTGCTTCTTTTTTTAAAAGACTCAGATACTGCAAAGCTTGAAGTTGAAAGGCAATTTTGTAAATCTAAGATGTCTGCCAGATTTTTGTTAGATTATTCTGGGATATTTTATCCAATATTTAGAGTCTTAGAGATGCTAGAGATAATCCAGGAAGAGATGGTGAATCAAGAGGCTGACTTTTGGATAAGAAGCTCACATTGGTTTTGTCCTGCAGTTTTCCCACTTAAAATATTGATTTTTCATTTTTTTTCCATTTTAAAACTGAAAAGATGAAAAACAATAACACAAGAAATAACCTCACCTCATAGTATAGTGGTATTTAAACCCCTGACTGCTGAAATACTCTATGAATGTTTTTCCTTCCAGGAATCAACTCAATTACATCACAGAAGAACTTAAAAATCCTTACAGGTAAAACTGTGTAGGAAAGCAGTGTTTTTACTGGCAAGAAATCAAGTACTATATATTTTCCTATAAGCAAGCATATGTTTTGGTTTGTTTTTTAAAAGCACTAATCTATTATTCAAGGTTTGAGCACTAACAGACAAAGCTAATTAGCTAATTATTATTACAGGCTTTGTATCTCTGCATAATTTGTACTTTTCCTTTTTTTTTACAATCCTGATTTCCATAGCTCTAAAGTGAAAAAAAAAAAAAAAAAAAGGAAAAGTAAGAATCCACAGTTTACTATGACAACTGTAACAGAGATCCAGCAATGCTGATGGGGTCTTACTTTTCCATTCTTTAGAAATCTACCACTCTCTATAATTATTGGAATCCCCTTGGTCACAGTTTGTTACATTCTGATAAACGTTTCCTATTTCACTGTGATGACTTCAACAGAGCTCCTGCAGTCCCAGGCAGTTGCTGTGGTAAGCTACTTAATTCTGTAATAGAACATCTGCATTGAAGTCATTAAATTCCATTCATTTTTTGTAAGACACAATTCATTTTAGTCTAAGCTGTCAGTGCCACCTTTTCCCCCACTATGTACTATCATTCCTTAAGCTAAAATTTCAGTTATGCCTAATTGAAAGAGTAGTTCTGTCATCTCCAAATGGGAATAAAAGAGGGAAGCAAAAGTAAAGCAGTGTTCTGCAAATGTTCTGTAAACATGGCACATCAGAGAGGGACTGCTTTCCATAGGCATCAAAAAGATGGAAAGAGAAATAACATCTGACAGTTCCTCTGCCATTTTCAGTGTTCCCAGTATTTCTGAGAAAGAAGCACATGCCATATGACAGTACAACAAAGTTTGTTGCTATGGAGATAACAGCAAATAGTCCATCATTCACTTCCACCTATTCTTTTTGGGCTTTTTTCCTTAACAAATTTGAAACATAGGATTTTTACATTTTTGCAAGACATACTCTTACAGGTAAAAGTAGAAGTTTCTGAAGCCATAAAAAATACATCTGCCCCTTGAGTTCCACTCAGTAAATTTTCTGTGTCTCTGAAACAACTGTTGAGGTCCTGCAACAATTTTCCTAATGCTAGTTTTTGGGGAAAACAAACAGTACGTGACAAGCATTTAAATACATACATATATATATATATATATATAAAATAGTCTAGCCCAGTGAAGAAGTACAGTACTATTGAAACGCTTTAAAAATGAAATAAAAACTAAATAAACATTTATTTTAAAAATTTAAAATAAAAGGTTTTAAAATTTAGCTCTTCTGTGCATTTCAGCAGCTTGTCTGCACCAAAAGGTAGAGCAAAGAATGTCTGAAGTTAAATCTTGTATAAGAACTAGTCCTCTTCAGTACACCTTTAAACTTACAATCTGAACAACACACAGCAACTAGCACTGAACTGATCAGACTGAATGAAGAAAACCTCAGCCCTGGCTCTGAGCAGAGGCAGCACAACAGAAGGAGTGCCTGTGCAGAGGGGTCTGTACAGCTGTAAGCAGCCTTGGAGTGCCCTGCTTCTGGACCAGGAAACATCACTGATGTCAGACTGGTGCAAAACCAAAGTTCTTTACGCTTGACTTACTAAAAAAAGACCAAAACCAACCCAACTGAAAACTAAACCTACCTGTCAAAACCATTTAAATTCAAATTCGTTTGCTGTTGGTCAATGTACCTACCTGGGATCTACAACAAGAACCCACAAACCACACCACAGGTGAAAGCTCAAATGTAGTGAAAGACCAGAGGCAGCTTGTCCTTGTTTGCCCCCAGGCTCAGGCTGTCAGTGCTGATGTTACTCCTTCTAGAGAGGCTGAAAGCAGCCTCTTTCTGTGTGGACAGTGCTCTGCAGCAATGCCATCTTCCTTCCCTCTGTCTTTGCAGACACATCCCAAAGCAGGTGTCTTTAAGGGAATTTGATTTCTGGGTAGTTTTTACAGCTGCCTTCCACTGTCTCCTACAGATGTTGCATTTTAAACACCATGGCAATAATACTCCATTTTATAGTGGTCAATGAATGAATCCAGGTCTTTATTTGGCAAAGTATTCTTTAAAAACTACACAAAATACACAACACGGATTTGTTGGTAACACAGCTCAGATACCCATTTAACTACAAAGAGGCTCAAACATTACTGAATATACTATATGGTAGTTAATATGACAAAAGTGATTGATTTTAATCCCATTTCCCAGACATTTGGAGATAGAGTCCTTTATCCAGCCTCTTGGATAGTTCCTCTCTTTGTGGTATTTTCAACACTTGGATCTGCCAATGGCACCTGTTTCACTTCAGGCAGGTAAGTCCCCTTATTCCAAATATCTTCACATGAAAGGTTTTGAAGGGCGTAAAAATTTATATGCATGTATCTACAGACATAAGGACATTGTTTTGATCCACATTGCACAAAATGTAATTTGAAATTGCCTGTAAATCCAGCTACATTGTTTAATTTTCAAAAATAAACAGTGGCTATTCAGGTTTGAAAAATTACAAAACACGGTCTCTTCTTAATTCAATGAAGGTATACTACTATAGCACAAAAGGTTTTTTTCATCTCTCATAAATTTTAAAGCTGAGAATTAAACAGTTAAAAGTTACCAGTAAAAACATGACTACACCAGCAAAGGTATCTGAGAAGCTATTCCTTTCTATCAGTTGTTCAGCACTTCCTTTTACTATTTCAATTATTTTAAGATTTCAAAAGCATCTGAATACAATGTGACTTTAAAGACCTTTTTTTGACAAAAGGTTGTCAATATAGCTTTTTGCTACGAAACACATGAAAAAGGAAATATTTAATTAAAAGGGACACAGTCGGTAACATTTCCCAAAATAATTTTCAATTATATGTGCAAAATAATGATTCTGAAATTAGTTTCAAGTGCACTATTTTAATACTGGTTCAGAGTGTATTTTAGCTCACTGCTTTAATACTGGTTATTTCATTTCCCTTATTTTGAACTGCTACAATCTTTAAATCCCAATGCATATCAAAGAAAATACTGATGAAATTAGCTGGATATCTATTATTAGTAACACTGTTTAAAGTCTAGGTGCCACACTAACTGCATTGCCTTGTTTTTGTTTTGTCAGACTTGTTTATGTTGCAGGTCGTGAAGGGCACGTGCTGAAGGTACTGTCTTACATCAGTGTTAAGTACTTAACACCAGCACCTGCTATCATATTTTATGTAAGTATATATTTAAATACAGAAAAAATATTACTGCCTATCACCAAAAATTCTCCAGTAATACATACTTTCACAGCTTCTTACAAGCAGTTTTCACACTTATCATTAACTATCTAGACAAGAAAATTGCTAAATACATTTTGGAAAAAAGACTACATAAAACCCCCTGCTTCTCTAATTTGAACATACTCATTGCAAAACTGGACTTTAAAAATCAAAATGGTTAAGAATCAATGGTGTGAGAACAAAAACTTAAATGAATGGTTAATATTAGGAAATGCTTTCATAGGATGCTTGCCAGCAAGCTATCATTACCCTGTTTCCTCCATGTAGGAATATTTCCTCCATGTAGAAAATTTACATCTCACTAAAAAAAGTTCAGTCAGTAAATACACTTAAGAATAAATCTAGAACATCTTGTTATTTTTATTTTACCCATTTATCTTCAAGTCAAAAAAAGATATATTCAATCCTGTCAGGAAAATTAATCCACAAACACCAGAGGTTTATGGCCAAAAAGGAGACAGAGGAGTCCCATAACTTTATTTGAATAAAGGGAGAGGCCATGGGGCATTCCCCGTGGGGTCTCTCAAATTATTAGAGGACACAGCCTCCTTTTTATCCTAATTTCCTGGCCACATTTCCCTCTCTTTTCCCATTGGCTGAGGTACTTGGGAGGTCCAGACCTCCTGCATCACCTAATACAGACCTCATTTCTGAAGTGTGACCCCTGCTTTTTCTTTCTCCTTATGTCTCTGTTCTTTTTCTCTAAATCCAGACATGTAGCACAGTCTTGAGTGAGTAACAGCCTGTGTCAATTAGTGGAATTCCTATGGAATTTATGGTTCTGCCCATTGCTTCTTTCATGTCTCCATATCTGGCCTTAGCTATCCTCAAGCCCACAGTTTGTTTGTAAAGACATCTCCTCCTCATTCCTTTCAATCCCAGTAACATTAAAAACCTAAAAATATATTGTGTATCTTCAAGATAGTCAGTCAACAATAAAACAGATTAATGTATAAAAATTATAAGCATTTTGACTTAAAATGGAATTAAGATTGCACACAAAAATAACCACATGTTGGCAGGAGTCAATTGCAATATTTAAAAGTGCTGCAATACACTTACACCCAAATATTTAATCAAAAGCATTCACACTTCATACTCTGGGACACTACACATGCAGTTGTATTGAAAGAAAGTAAAATTCAGCCTTCTTCTATAATAGACCACACTAATTTTTGTTTTCATTTTTAGGGGACCATTGCTATTATTTATATTATTCCTGGTGACATTGATACACTCATAAATTACTTTAGTTTTGCAGTCTGGATATTTTATGGTTTAACTGTACTTGCACTAATTGTTATGAGGTTTACAAGGAAGGAAGTCAAGAGACCTATCAAGGTAAGTTCTGTATGGCTTTTCCTCCATTCCATAGATGCTGTAGCATGAATTCACACTCAGTATCTGGATATTTAAACAGCCCCCTTGGGCAGTACCTTGTTTTTTACTCCCCTTACCTGAAATCCAACCATTTAACAACAGATCTGCACTAGGACTCATAAGCTCAAAGCTCATAAGGACTGGGAAAAGATTACAGAAAGTTGATTTTCACTTGCACAGACCACAGGTCACAAGCCAAAATTTCAGGGATGGGTAATTGCAGCCAGCAGACTGCCATTGAGAGAATATACAAAATAAGACCCCAGGTCATTGCATGCAAGTCACTTCCCACATTTATTAAAATGCAAACTTGCACACTGCAATTTGAAATATTCACTAAGAGATCATAGTGGATAATTTGGCAGAAGAGTTATCCCTGTCCGTATTTCTGCTACTCCTTCAGTTGCCCCATCTGCTTCCAGAAAATTTTAAAGTAGAAAAATGCATAAGGCAATAAAAACATTTGTTCATACAGGCCACTTCTGTAAAAACAGCTAAAGAATGAAGAAGTGATTTTCTTCTTTGTATCTTGCAGGTACCCATCATCATTCCTGTCATAGTGACATTGGTCTCAGTTTTACTGGTATTGGCACCAATTATCAGTGCACCTGAACTGGCCTATTTGTACTGTACCTTATTTATACTTAGTGGACTCATAGCTTATGCACTTTTTGTTCATTTAAAATTCAGCTGGGCACAAAAAATATCAAGTAAGTATACCTCAGGCAGCCAGCTCTAAACCCAATATTTGCTAAACTTGAGATTAATTGGTATAATAAAGTTCACTACCTGGTCAATCCCTTGTAAAGCATGTGAGCAGAATGTGGAGGGAAGCAATTTCCCTAGCATGCAGTGGGCTTTACTGAAGACTGTATTTCACTCCTTCCTGCTGAAAAGAAGTAATGTCTGACTTGAGGAAAAATTAATTCACAAAAAAACAACATATCACTGTAGTAGCACAAAGGAACAGAGCTAATTAATCTGTAAAGTTAGATTTTTACTTATCTGTATTTCAAAACATTGCTTTAGCCATTAACTGAAGATTAGCAGACATAAATTCTTATGCCACCAAACACTGGGCTTTTACCTCTGATGATTAATTTTACTATCCTTGCTAAAGAAAATGTTAACAGCATTAAGATAAAAAGATAATCCCAAGGCTGAGTACAGTGAAAGCTGCAAGAACCCAGCGTGACCATTTATGAACTGATTGTATAGTCCCTAGAGAAACTCTGATATTATCTCAGGTAAAACAGGATACACAGGTATTTCTAAGAGGCTAATTGGAATTAGCTGAATACAACAGCATTAGCAGTTCTACAGACATTAAAAAATCCATAATCTATCTCTATTGTCCCCAGGATGATTAATTATAATGTAATAATTATAATTAATTATAATTTTAATTATGTAATTGGAAGTATTGTGCTCTAATGTGTTTGGAAATGTAGAATGCTGTAGTTTGGATCTTAAGACTGCTTATTCCCCACCCTTTATTTTTCATTTTGAAATAGGAATTCAGATAAAAAAAACAACTACACAGAAGGATAGTTTTATCACTTAAGAATTTGAATTGAAATTTCTCTTATAAAGCCTCTAACAATAAATCTTTTCCTCAGAGCCCATCACTATGCACCTCCAGATGCTTATGGAAGTTGTTCCAGAAGAGGAAGTTACTAAATGAAGTATTTTATACCCACCAGGTTGTTTTTAAGTGCTGTACTGGTTGAAGTACATTCAATTTAGTTTGGCACATATATATACTTGCTAAATTGTAATGTTTGTACTGGTGTATTAGTTTTGCAACACTTCAGTACTTCAAAGCATCAAATGTATCTAATAAAAGATTTCTAAGCCAGACTACAGTGTCCAGCAAAGTTGGTTTCATTGTTTGTTATAAATTATGGTGTCTTGTTTTCTGAATTAAAATTTTTAGCAAATATGTGTTTTAATGTCTTTACAAACAATTCCATGAGTGTCAACGTCTTTGAAATGGGTGTCAACGTCTTTATTAGGGCTGATGCTGAAGATCTTGTTACCTTCCCTTTCCTTCTTTGCTGAGACAACTCCTTTAGTGCCAGGACGATTTCTTTCCCAGGGGTTGGCTTTCAGTGGACACCTTGGATCTTCACTCCCTTTTTTTGTGACACTTGTTACTCATTTTGACTTTTCCACCCTGCAACATGAGGGTGTTAGAACCTTATGAGATCTGAATTGCATGACAGCAGGACTTGTTCATCACATCATCTCCTCTCCCTGGTCAATGTCTTTGAAATGGGTGTCAAGGTCTTTGAAATGGGTCAATGTCTCTACCAGCTTCAAGCCACAGGTTTGTTACAGAATCAGTTTGACTCCTTGAACCGACAGGGGTCTGCTCAAGGCTGAGATTCGGAACTTTGGGGGAAAATGCCAGGTTCAAGGGGGATATGGGGTAGGCGGTTTGGGAAGGCTGCACCTTCCTGGTACCTCAGCCAAGGGGAAAGGAAGAGAGAAGCGTGTGGCCAGGAATTTGGGATAAAATGAGGCTGTGCCCTCCAAAACCTCCACAGAGAAACCCCCGTGGGTGTGTGCTCCAGTGGACTCTCCCATTATTTGAATAAAGTTGCAGGACTCCTCTGTCTCCTTTATGGACACTGGTTTTTCATAGCGTGATTTTCCATACAAAATTACTCAGAAAACCTTTTCAGTTATGAAGATGGCAAAACTTAGCAGCAGCAGTGTCAAGATGCTTCTGATGACACTATGGAAAGAATAATGCAGCTCTTACAGCATCACAGAAAGGACAAAAATCACATTAACACCAGACTAGCTCTATCCTCAGGTTCTCAGACCACATATTAGCTATAAAAACATCAGTCTTTGGAGTTGGATATTGCATTCTATAACATCAGTCTCACAGAGAGACATTCTGGGTCTGCAGCCTTAAAAAAAGGTCCTAGAACAAAAAGGAAGGCAGTGCTGAGCATCACTTTTCTTATGAAGCTTTAATCGGTGCAACACACATTGGTGTTATGTTTTTTGGTTTCAGCTACATACACCTTTACATTTTCACTCTCTCACTGAGCCCAGATCCATAATTTAATCTGGAAACAAAAGGGGAGTAAACGGCTTCTGATTTTCACATTCACTTCGAAGGACATCAACACCTATGAGGCTATGAGCTCCTTTCACTCTATGTACTATCACATTCTCTAAATCATGCAGAGCTCCTGAACCTAAACTAACTGTACCAAGCATAAATATTGGTCAAAAAAGGTGCCTGCTCAGCAAATGGTTGCTGTCTCCACGTTTAACTGGCATCATGTGAAAAGCAGCACACCCCATGGAGTGATGCACTTTACCATCTGCTGCATGTATCATCACATTCTTTCATCCTTGCCAAGCCCAGCTTCAAAAGTTGCTCTGTCCAGCAATTGCTCCCTGTCCAAAGGTTCTAGAACAAAACGTGAAGTGCTGGCCTTCACTTTCCCTTTGGAGTTTATGAAGTGCAGGACACAGGTCTGTGTGCTCTCTGCACCCTCACGCACTTTCAGCCCTTCCCAATCCAGGCTGGAGCAGGTCTGTTCCAGCCAGGTCTTCTAAAGGCAGCCCAGGGATGACACTGAGGAGCTGCAGCAGCTGCAACTGCTTGCATTGAGGAATTACAGAGGACAGGGAGAGGCAACACAAGCAGTAGATGTACAACAAAATCTACCTCTGCTCAAGGACGCTGTGCAGCACCTATAGAGGGCACTGCTCCCCCTGGAACTCCTCAGGTGGTCCATAGGAAATTTATGGAGGAGCTTTTGCTGTAGCACCTTGAGAAAGCAGCATTTAAACAAGACAGAGAGGAGAAGAGCCTCAGGAGTCAGATGAGCTGGGAAGGCTCAGCTCCAAGAGCTCTCACTCTGAGTCTCCTCCTTTTCTAAAAGCAGTAAGAAATGCTTTTTAAAGGCAAGTTGTGCATCAGAGAGAGAATTGCCAGGAGACATCCCAGTTCACTTTCATGTAATGCACTAATTAATGCATTGATCCATGGGTATGGGAGAAGATTTTCCCCATGGTTCCTGCACTGGTCAGTGGCATGGGTGCAGGATGAGATCAGGGTGATTCTGGCAGTGTTTGTTATATCTGAAAACTGTTTATTGATAAGGAAAGGTCATGGTCCCGACCAGAGAGGGAACAGAAAAGAGAGCAGAGAAAGAATGAGAAATGGAGAGAGTAACCCAGAAGAGGGACAGAGCGTTTCCGCTGGAATGGAGCAGCTGTGCTGCCAACCGCACCGAGCGTGTGTGCCCGCCGCGGCGGGCCGGGCTCGATCCGCCGGCAGAAGGGCCGGCTGTCCCGCGGGGTGCGGCCGGGCCGGGCTGTCTGTCCCCTGAGCCATCCCCCATCAAACACTCTGATTCATTCCCTCCCTCTTCTCCCGTCCCTGCAGGGCTCCATTGCACCTGG